ACTTCAGAATATGTAACACTTGAGTTTAAAAACACTCAAAACTGTAAAACTAGTATAAAACCTGGTACTAAATCTAAATTCTGATCCACGGAGCATAAACTGAATTCTATATTAATACAGTTATAGTACAAATACATCTGCCACAGTATAACAAAATCTCACATGGTATATTCTGTCATAGCACCCAGCTAGCTCTACCGCTGCGCAAAAACAAATGAAAATGCTGACCCGTGGTGATTTAATGGATGATATCTGTCCATTAACACACACAGATACACATGAACACATTTAAAAAGCTTATGATGGTGTTAAGTAGAGTTTAACACTAAATTATTGCAGGCTGTGTAACTGGAGAGGGTTATTCAATCCTGAGGCAAAAGTGTCTTCTCAGAATGAGTGTGTGTTTGTGTGAACAGTGAGTCAATGTTTTACTCCTCACCACTGCCTCCAGCAGCCATTTTCAAACTACACATACAATACATTCCTCCTCAGCTTAGACCATGAAGGTCTAAACATCTTTTTGTCTGAGAGACTGTTTCACCTCTGCTAGTTTTAGTAGAGTTTAACCTTACAACAACCCCCGTACTAATCTCAGAATTAGCTCACCTCTCAACTCAACACTTGACCCCTACTAACCTTTTGCACTCTGGCCAAGAACAAACGGCCGGTCAATCCACACGTGTCAGGGCTGGATGCTAAAGAGAGCTTGTTTTAGACACAGACGTGGACCGATTGCTGTCTTTTGCCCACAGGTAATACGTTCAGGGTGAAATATTAATTTCTCATAATCATTTTGTATTGGATTGATATTATATTTGTATTGTGATGAGCATCTGGCTCCCCTCCAGTCGACATCACGCCAGCCCTCACATTGCTGGCCCATGTCCAGACTCACAAACAGTGTCTGTGGCCAAGAGGAGGAGCGAGAAAACGGAACAGTGTTGGCAGCACCTGATATATATATCGTCTCTCTTGACCGCTTCCATAAATTCAGTTGACATATTTGTCTTCACTGTTACTTTTTATCAATGTAATGCATCCTAGCTGAATAAAAGCTTTAATTTCTTTAAAAAAATACCTCAAACTTTTGAAAGAGTGCATGTCTTAGAAGGTGTTTCTTGCTATTCATGAAAAATAGATGCAACTTCAAGGTAGAACATGATTACACATACTGATTGTATCATAGACTATATACACTATGTCAAAAACCAACTCTGTAAAAATAATTCTTAATAAAAGTGAAATAAATACAGCAGAACACTGCACCAGTGCTCTCTAGTGCAATATTATCAGTATAATTCATCATATTTTGGCTGTGGAAACCTTTCGCTGATGAAGATCGATATATAGCCTAACATAAAATCTCATAGTTTTAGTCAGCAATATGTCATATACTGGGGCTTTGGGATATTGTAGCGGGAATCAATCCCAGTAGATTGAATTTACATATTTTACCTGAAATAAACTCAGCAAAATGGAGTCTACTGTAGACTTATACATTTACTGTATATGTGATTCAATATCACTGAATTCGTAGATAGTGACATAGTCTTTTTATTGCTGATTTTATTCAAAAAACATGCTAAAATCTGACCCCATAAGACCATTTGCTGTCTGTCTGATTTAACTTGAGATAACTATTGGGTCTCAGGGTAAAGTATTATTATTATTAAAGCATTAAGTTAAATATCCTCTTTGGCATGCACACAAATACATAAAGCTTACTCACCAACCGAGCAAAGGACACATACCACTGTGATAAGCAAATGTGATAAGCATATCTGTACCACAGCCTATGAGGCGTCTGAGATCAGTGACTGATGTAACATTCCCTCAGGTGTAATAGTCAAGGGATAATGACATGGACACACATATGTCCACTTATTAGTCTCTGTATCTGACTTCTTGATATCTGCTTTGAATGTGGCTGACAGATTTCTATAATTCCCTTTAAAGAGTGCACAGTCATTCTGATCCTTCCCTGACATTAAAGGGCCAATAAAATACATATCAAGCCAGCTAAGAAAGTAATGTTGGGCCACACTAACACAAAAGGAAACAACTGGCGTTTTGGTCAGATGTTAGCTGTGCTATATTTTCTGTATTAATAGCATGATGAGGCTAAAATTTTAATCAGAGGGCTTTTACACGGAATATGTCTGCTGCATAACAAAGAAAATAAAGAAATTTCTTGGTGACTAAATTACATTTTTGTATGAGGAGGTAGATCACATTTACATCCATTTGGTAATTTATTGACATGTAATGACACTCAAACCACAAACTGTAGCTATAAACGGCTTAATCCTCTGAAATATTTACTCAATAAAAAGTGTTTGTTTGTCACTGCAGTTAACATACATCAAGCCCAAGTATATATTTTTTCAATCGATGAAAAATCAATTCTAGAATTTTATATTGCTTCTTAAAAGCCTGTTTTGTCAACGTTTAGGTTGATAAATAGGCTTAAAGAGTATTTCCAACATATTTCTGTTGAAATTAGTGTGCAATGTGGGCAAAAAAATAGGCTCAATAACACTGAAACTCTATGTAGCAGACAAACAGTTTATGCATACAATGTGAATACTAGGCCTATAACCCTTTCATATGGGTAGTGAAATAAATATGTGCAGTTAAAACAGTCCTTAGAGACAATGTCTTTGGCAAATTATTATTATTATAAAATATCCTGTCCTAAAATATAGGGCTACAAAACTGGTATTCTTCTGATACAGAACAATACATTTTTAGATCAGCAGTCTCATTTACAATCTTGTGAAGCTCTCTGTGACCATTTATGGAAAGGTTATCAGAGTTATGTGCCTTTGACGTGAGTCCAACGTGAGCATTCCCATTTAACCACTGATAGTACAGAGAGTATTCAAGCAAACGTTAAGTGGAGTTTGGATGTGTGTGTGAGTGTGTGTGAATGTGATTTCATTGCTAAGCTAGGCTCAGACACTACCCAGCTGCATGCATGGAGGAAATGGACAATCTGTAAATCTGGCACAGTGGGGAATGAGATTGCACTAATATATGGTTTATATTTATTATTATAGATTTTTAAACAATATATTTTAAATAATATGAATTTATCATTTAAAATATTATAGAAATGTCTATTATGCTTTTGTTTGTGTATTAGCGTGAGGCAGCTAGCCTGTATGTTAATGCACTGAATAAATGTTTAAAGAAATTCCATGCATGTATTAATGAACATATTATGTGCCATATACATAAAGCACTGACATACACGTGTTTGTGTGTAAATACAGGTGTGTGAGGTGGGTTTGCAGTGTGTGTTGTGCTGTGATTCACACGGGGTACGGCCTCAGCAACAGACCAGTCATCGCCCAGTTGCCATGGCTACAGCGATAGGCTAAATGCATTATTGAGTTCATTCTGTCTTAGTCTCGCTCTCTTCTCATGTCTCTTTCCCTCGCTCCCCCTCCCTCATCCTGCGCAGACCACTATTAGCTTTTACTAAAGCATGATCTACTTTTCAAAACACACGCACATCGCTCATACAAAACATCCTTCACCTCCGTCTCTGAGTCGTGACAAGGGCTTTCTTCGGGAAACAACCCTTTTTCCGGAGAAATCCCAAACAGGAACGCACTGTGCACTGCCTGCATTCAGTTAATAATTCAATAGCCTGCTAAATTCCTACATAGTGTTACACAACATCTCTTCTAGAAACTGTGCCATCAGAAGCTCCTTTTGTTGAATAACAGTCAGTTTTTTGTCCTATTTGGGGTGTTTTTCACTGTATTGTTTTAACCAGGCGGTGTGGTCCTGAGGCCTGAGTAAACATGATAATGAAGCGTTTAAGATTCACCAGATGTTCCTGCTATAATGCGGCTTCCCTCATCAAATAACATGAAACTTCTGAAGTTACTGCCACTTAATATTTGCAAAGAACTCCCAGCATAAAAGTCCTGCACAGACAGTTATGCACATTCACACACAACCAATAGACATAGCAATCACTGTATTATTTAGACTAGAATGTGTAAAATATGTACCAGACCACACAAACGGTGATATATAAACAGAAAAGTCTATAAAATGGTCTTCTGGATAATAATAAACACACATTATGTTTGTATAGCACAATGTGCAGCCCACATGCTGAGAAGCGATTTAGCGGTAAAGTAATCGTCTTTAAGACCAATCCAAGACAAACACACACACAGACTACAATTCATAATTAGCATTACATTAACTGCAAGCTTCAGAATCGCAAACAAATACAAAAACACAAGCTTTCTCATATTCACACCACTCTGTGGTCGACCAACATGAGCTTTTTAACGTCTAATGCCAACACAGGTATCTAGAGAGCAAGGTAGCTCATATCCAACATAATACCAATACAATGGTAGCAAACAATGCATTATGACTATTTCACACAATATATAGCCTACTAGAAATAGAAAATGCACACATTTTATTGTTTTACACTTAAAATACACAATATATACTCAAAATTAATTGTAAAATATATTTGATTTTTAAGTTTTACATTATAAAAAAGTGCACTATTACAGTTGTTTTACTATTACAAAATATACTCAAAATTATTTAAAACATGCACTATTTTACATTTCTTTGACACAAAATTTATGCTTAAAAATAATAATTAAAAAATGACAGCAGAAATGCACATTATCCATTGACAAAAGTGTCGGTAGATTTCCAAATGAACATTAGTGAAATATTACTTTCTGTTGAGAAATCTATCAAGCAGAGTTATCAACAATCTCAGAATAGCTTAATGATTACCAATTAATCGCCCTGTCCAATAAATCAGTTAATCACTAGTACCACTATGTTCCCTTCTGCAGTATCTCATTCATTTTTATACACCGCAATCCTTCTAAAGAAGCAAACTGTCCTTCCTACACACACGCAAATCTCTCACATGCTGGCCTGGTTTTCTCCCTCTGCATGAGCTCTCTCTTCTGGTCCCCACCCAGTGCTCTGAAATGCCATGCTACCTTTCTCCTTCACCATGACCATTGGCTCCTCAGTGTCTGCTGGGGCTCTGATGTGGAGGATCAGAGGGAGAGAGCTGCTTCCTCCTGCCTGCTTTCTTCCTTGGGTTCTCCTGCTTTATTCCCCCACTGAATCCAAACGTGAGGAGACGACGGAAGAGAGAGCGAGTGAGAGCAAGGCACCGGCAAGACGACAGCAGAGGAACGGATTGAAAGAGCTTGCACTCTCAAACTAAGCAGCCGCTCAGCAACTGCTAGCTTGGTCTTCGTTTCTCGAGCAGCCCCCCCTCTCCTCATACACACGCATACCGTGTGTGTGTGCTTGTGGACTCTGCCCTGGCTCTTCTGAAATAACCAGGTTGCAGCTGCCGTGTGTGACAAATGCAGATTCCATAGCCGTAATCCCTCCCAGTTCGAGACACCACCTTAAATTCTTCAAACAGAGATGGAGGGGACGGGCACATGTGACTCAGTTTAATATACTGCACATTTCTATTCTTTCCTATTCTCTCTCTCTCACACACATACATATTGTCTCCCTCCCATTGTTCATCACATGCTCTGATTAGCTGTGTTTATTTCAGTGAAGTGCTGACTGCTGCTTTTACAACTCAAACCTGTTTGATGCAGATGAATTAGCTGGAATATAACTCACTTTCATTGACCCACGTATACTGTATGTATAAGGTAAAACAGGAAAACTGTGATATGCTATTGCTGGCCTTTGAGGGATCAGCTAGTCTCTCTCCGGACTATCCACGCATCATGGCTGTAGATTATAGGATTACTAGGCCGACAATTGAATTGGGGAGCTTATTGAGAGGCGTTATTAATATTCACAACGGTGCAGTGGCGTCACTAGGGGTATAGCGTGTACTGAGAGAATGGGGCTGCTCTGACGAATTACCCAGAAGTCTTTGTACTTGCAGAAAAGAGGTGGTACGTGTATACACTTTTTTTAGCTCCGTATTTTGTGTGAGACTGAGACATACTGTTCTAAAGTTTGGGGTCAGTAAGATTTTTTTTATGTTTTTGAAAGTCTTATATGCTTGCCAATGCTGCATTTATTTGATCAAACTCAGTATAAACAGTAATGCTGTGAGATTATTAGTATGATTTATTAAACAACTGTTTTCTATTTTAATATACAGTACTTTAAAGGGGTCATAGCATGCTACATGCACTTTTACAAGTTGTTTGAACTGAAATGTGTGTTGGCAGTGTGTGTACATAACCACCCTATAATGATAAAAATCCACCCAGTGTTTTTTTTTTTAATCTACTAAAATATTTACCCCTTTCTCAAATTGAGCCGATCTCAGGTCTGTGTGATGTCACAAAAACAGGCCCCTCCCACCATAGTTTGATTGACAGTAGCGTTTCATCACAGACTGGACTGGTGTCTTACCTTAGACCCGCCCTGAGTGAGCTGTCATCAGTCCACCATTGTTTCACCACCGGAGCAGATGTAGACAAGAATGACTCCTAAGCGATTGAGGTGTTCTGTTGTTGGATGTAATAATGAACATAGCAGTCATCATTTACTCCCGGCATCTGAGCCGCTGAAGACGGAGTGGATTACGTTTGTTTTTGAAGGGAATGCGCCCCCGATCTACCTAAATGCGTCTATGTTCACGCGAATCATTCATGATCCAGCTTCACCTATACAGAAGAAGTGAGTATAAGTTTTTTTTAATGAATCTTTGCAAATCGCCTTTCCTAATAATGTGCTAATTAGCAAGTTTCACGATGAATGTGGCTAAAGTAAACAGTCTCTCAGAGAGCAGCTCGGAAGAGAGGGGTGGGGTCAGCAGAGCTCATTAACATTTAAAGGAAAATGCTACAAAATGGCTTGTTCTGAAAAGAGCTGTTTTGACAGGGTAAAAAAGGTGTTTTTTACACTACCATAGAGAAATTTTAACCAAACTATGTTACAGACTTTTCATTAAGACCCTGAAGAATCATATCAACTTGTGGAAAATGGGCATCCGATGACCCCTTTAAGATGTATTCTTGTGATGGCAAAGCTGAATTTTCAGCAGCTATTATGTCAGAATTCAGTGTCATGTGATTCTTCAGAAATCATTAAAATATGCTGATATTGCTGTTTAAGAAATATTTATTTTTATTATCAAAGTAAAAATGGTTGGGTTGCTAAATATTTTTTATGGAAACTGATACATTTTTTCAGGATTCTTTAAAAAGCACAAAGTTCAAAAGCACAGAATCTCTTTTAAACAGTTTATTGTGTCCTTGCTTAGCAAATGTATTTATTTATTCATTTATTTAAATGTATAGATGTTTCTTCAACTACAGGCACTTTTACATCAAAACCAAAAATCTTTTTGAGATGTAAAAGTCATATTAAAACACATTTGTTAAAATACTACTTTTGAAAATCTTGCTATATTCTATATAGATTTTATTTTATTCTGGTCCCAAATCAGACTTTTCTTTAAAAAAAAAAAACTTAATTAAAATGTTCTAATTATAATAATCTAAACTATCTGTTAAAATAAACTATGTAGAGTGTGGCTGTCCCTCAGCCATGATTTTCATCACAACCAACAATTTTGCCTCTAATAAAGTTTCAAAAGTTAGTGTACTTGTTTACTAAGGAGACAACTGTAAAGATCAGCTGAAATATGATGTTTACTGTGTGACGAAAACAATTACAAAGATTAACATCACTTGTAAATCAAAGTGAATTTAAAAAAGCCTTAATTTAGCCAAATTACACAAAAAATATACTGAAAATATTATTTAATTGTATGTATTCAGGAGATACAATGCTAGCTATGAACTTAGCTCGTGCACAAATCATTATACTCCATTATATCAAATGTAATTTCCACACAATACATAAATTGAGATGTGTTGGAAATTACATTTGTTGGTTAGGAAAATGATGGTTCAGATAAACATGCAATAACACTGTTAAAGGCAAACCAGCCAACAGGGCCAAAAGTGTCCATAGCCTAGGAAACAGCACATGGGTTGATATGGTTAAAGGAGATTAACGGAATTTTAAAGAAGGGAGGATGTGTGTGTGTGTGTGTGAGAGAGAGAGACAGAGGGTGTCAGCATGAGAAGGCCACAGACAGCAGGTGTTGGATAAATAGAGGAAAGTCTATTATATCATTAGAAAGAAGAAAACAGCTGAATATTTTGTCAACAAGCAAGAGCAAAGAGAAGGAACTGAGCCAAAGTAAAAAGAACACAGCTAGACCACTGTTATTACTCTCCATTTATATGTACAACACCACAAAATGCTACTACGACTACTTTATGAATGCTTTAATGCTTGTTTCAGAACTAACATGATTTTCTTATATCTCTGACATTCTAAAACACAAGACAGCGAATAGAAACGAATAATAGTTATTGAACTATATTGATGTTCTGAGGGGTTTTCATGTGTTTCTATGTGATTGCTAACATGTTCTAGGATGGTTGCTGGGATGTTTCAGTTGGTTCCTTACTGGCCAAAAAAAAGTGATTTTCATCTCAAGTGATTTTTCCCAACCATTTTGTCCAAAAAACACAAACCCACACCCTTACAATGTCTGGAGTACAGTACTGCTATGGAAAAGCAGCACATGTGGAACAGAGGAATATCACTATGACACCTTTTGGCTTCAGGGTATCTCTGACTTCCACTTCCTGAAGGGCTACACAGCGGGGATCCAGACTTGCCTTGGCTATAAATGATTGATTGGTTGAGTGGAGCCATAATTACTGTATGCACTGTATGTTTCCCTTCTATGAGCTGGCACTCTCTGAGCACAAGTGTCAAACATTAACAGTCAGGCTTACGCATCCATGCACGTCTACGCAGATGAGGAACCTCTTTCCAATCTCTCATTTCATCAGTTCTCAAAATATATATAAAATATACAGCAGATATTTCCATACATAAAGCAGCATAACATCCAGTAAGACCACACATGTCATCTGCATCTGGAAATCACTGAATTATGCAAGCTTACAATGAACATACTAATGAGAATGGATTTACATACGTTCTAGAAAATAACTGTTGCAAACACAAAAGCAAAGTGTAGTTTTAACAAAAGTATTGTGGATTAGATTACACACAAATAGAAATATGTGTAGCCTACTACTAAGACACATGTTATGTCCTAAGACTGTATAAATAAATGTGTCAGTATGTTACCCAAATCCGCTGAAAACTACAGTACATTATGAAACTTTTACAATACCAGTATATGGCATTTTACGGGGTATAAGGATGAGTGATTGTAAAAAAAGAGACCTCTGCAGACTAATGGGAAGATTTGTCAGGAATGTGTCCACATTTCAGCCATAATCCTGCCAGCGGGATAGTGCTATGATCCAGCTCAGACTTTAGATTAGCCTCACATCCCACTGCCTTATAAACACAAATACCAGCATCTCTGTTTATCTCCTCAATTATTTTGTAATACGTTACATTTTTGGCTCGGTGCTGTCCCAAATTGTTGTGCCCCTCTATCACTTGGTCACTATGACTCGTAACTGCTGCTCTGCTAAAATCTAAAATATCCCTTCAATAAAAATGTTTTTGGCTCATTTGAGAAATTACTCAAATATTTTAACTAATTTCACTGGGGGAAAAAATGTAAAGAATTTCATAATTTTTTCTAAATATCTAAACATTTTTTAAAACAAATAATTTTACTAAAAATAAAATGTACATACTAAAATTAATGTGTACTAATTACAAAATAATTAAATTAAATAAGAAAATAAAATAAAGTAAAATATTACAAAGTATTTTAGTTTATGCCTAAGAAACAGTGGGGTTAACAAGAAAAACCTTAATACAATTATTTTTCTGTAGTATTGCTCGCTTAAAAATACTATTATAAAAAGTTATTACTACTTAAATTATTTTTTATTTTATTTTAGCTTCAACAATTTTTCTCATTAAAAAAAAAATTCTATAAAACTGTACAATAACACAGGCAGTCACATAATGGAATTATTTTCTATGATAGCAAATAAGTGTCTAGCATGAGTCTAGCATCTCTCCTACTCTCTATACTCCCTTACCGGGTCCCATGTCAGGAGGTGCCATTTTCTCCAGGATGACATACTCATTAGGGTTCAGGAAAGGCAGCTGCTCCATCATGGACTGTTTGGGAATGAGGTAGAGCACCTCAGCCACGTTCCCATCTTCGATAATGGACATTCTCCGAACTGAGTTCTTGCGCTTCACCCGGTCCAGCACCACAGAGTCGTCGCTGTGGCTGGAGCCGCACAGTTTGCCAAAGCTGTTAAGTTTGGGTAAGTTGGGCATGGCGAGACCCTCTAACCACTAGAGGAGATACCATACAAGACAAACATAAAAATCACCCGGTCACACAAAAGTGAGTT